TGATAACGTCTATTTTATGCATATATTTATGATGTTTTCTTATTATTTTATACTATATTTTTATGTTATTTAGAACTAAAGGATACTTAATATGCTTTTAAATGTTCGACTATAGTTAAAATGGGAGTTGGAATGCGAAAGGATGAGAAATGAACTAAAAAGATGCAAAGAGGATGTTGCCGGACAGATTGATGGAATTAATGGATTAAGTCCTTAATGGGTTAAGTAAGAAACGCTTAACCCTAATCGTTATTTTATCTGAAAACCCTAATCTTGCTTGGGCATTAAGTTGGGCCTTTCTATTGGGCTTTGGTGATTGGGTTATTGATGGGCCACCCAAGAACAAGCATATGGACTAGAATATTTAGATAGGCTTTAAGGTAAGGCCTATGTGAAGGGTTTGGGCCCAATTTGCATGAGCAATCTAAAAAAAAGTTGTAGTATACGTTAAACCAAGAGCGTGCATAAAAAGAAAGCCCAAATCTGACTTCGTATGAGGAAGTTATGATTTTTCTAAGATTTTGGCTTAACAGTGCACAACCCGAAACTCGAATTTTAGATCGAACGGTTTTTGGCCAACACGAACTAAATGAGAGTTGAATATCTCATTAATAGGAACTCAACGATAAAAAGAAAAATGAAAACGGAGTCCGTATGAAGAAGTTACGAATTTTATGCGATCATTTAACAGTATAATCTCCTCCTATCGTTAAATTTAAGATCGGACGAGAATTAGCCGATGGAGTCAAAAAGAAAGTTGTATATTTTATTTTTACCTACGCTTGGATATAAAGAATGTCAAAAACAGAGCTCGTATGCAAAAGTTACGGATTTTAGAAGTCAGAAGTATGTTGTGCGAAAATGGGTGACGTGACACAATCCTGACTATTGCTTTCTCCCTAACGCTTGTGAAGAGATTTGTAATCGAGTTTGAATCAAATTCAAGTATGAATTCAAGAAGAGTAATCACGATGAATACGAGAGTAAATAGAATATTTGTTCAGCTCGTATTATGCTTTTGAGTTTACAGATTACAATGAATAAACTGTAAAGACTGAGTGAAAATGTTATCTAATCACTTAGTACAGACCCCTATTTATAGGAGAACAAAAGCATAACAATACTAAGGACTAGACATTAAGACTACTCTTTATAATGCCTTAGTACAAATAACATTACATCCGAAGACTCCTTCTTACGAAGACAAAATATACTTCATAACAATCTAACTGACTCTTTGACTATTACAACATTTAAGCCCTAACAATCTCCCCCTTTGGAATCAAGGTCGAAGTCTTCAAGTCGCCAGTGATTGAATGGCATACATCAGCACTCTTCGGATCTCCATGTACCAAGAGATAACTTTCTTTATCTCTTTCTTATCTCCTTCCGAGTTCTTCTTGCAATGGTTCATACGAACAATTAAGTTCGTATATTGTGAGTTGGTGTATCTCTCCACTTCGCAAGTTTGAAATAAGAACCACTTAGCTCTTCCAGCTTTGTCTTTTCCTGCAAAAACGATCCCTAATGGCTTTAAACAAATTTCTCCATCTTCGTAATTTTTCAACTCATTCTGCTTCTTCGATGGCGTCATTGGTGCAGTAATGTCGATGCCTTTGACAATTGCGAGTTCGACATCAGTCTGAGCTAAGCACTCAAAATAATTCTCCAAAAATATCTTAATGTGCTTGCACCCAAGGCTAAAAACATCGGGTTCTGTATCTTGGAGAAAAGAAAATGATTTGTCTTTGAGCATCAAGGCAATGTTGATTAGATGATATGTGTTCATCAAAGGAAAGTCTGCCACTGTGAATTCTTGTAACTTCCCACTTGCTCTTGCTACAATGTACTTCAAATTTTCAAACTTCCCTTCGAATATGACATCCCTTTTTATAGATATCACCTTCTTAATTTTCTCCGAAAACCATACTTCCTCTTGAGGCTTCGCTAATACTGCATGAAACCTTATCTTCATCTTCTTTCCCTCTTCGGTTTCCATTGATTTTGTTTCAGCCTTGAACTGTAGCATAACGAACATCATTTCATTGACTGGAAAGTCAAGTTGACCAAAATATGTGTTCGTAACCACATAGCTCTTTTTCGGAACCTTTTCGTATGAGTACATATAATCAAACATCACTCTGGACTCGATGGTTTCGTAGTTATAAACTTTTGCTGGATCACCCTTATCAACATTCGAACCATCCAGAGCTCTTTGTCTCATTATGCTATGTACATGCCTCATTCTTTCCACCTCAGCTGCCACCTCAGCTTTCTTCTCTTCTTTAGTCTTCTCAATCAAAACTCCCTTTCCCTTGTCTTTGACGCTTGACAAAACCATTTTTGCGGATGAAGAAACATCAGCTTGCTTCCCAATCACAACAACTTTCGAACTTGGTTTTGGAAGTGGAATTGTTGTGATCACAGTCGAAGTGACTGGACCTGCTGAAATAACAGTTGGTTTTGTCACCACCTTCGAAGGATAAAGTTTTCCAACTACCTTCGCATCTTCGGTTGTCTTCATTTGTTCCCCAGCCTTCGATTGATCAATCTTTTCTCCCCCTTGCACCCCTGTGAAAGTAGGTGGGGCATCTGTAACATTCGGCAGAAGGCTGGAAATGCGAAGAAGTGGAGCTAAGTTTTTGTGTAGGATGGCTTCGAAGTGAGAAAATTTTTCAGAAATAAATTCTTGTGAATGATTGGAGAGACAGACTTCGAAGACAAGTCTTGGAGTTCTTTCAACAACCTGACCAACTCTCCAAAATTTTGTTCTTCTTTTGCAGAAAGAGTGGTCAGTTGAGGATTCATCTGCTGAAACAATTTTACACATTTTGCAACAGTGTCAAAAATAATGTCAATCTTCTAATTTGCTGATGCATAATCTTGTTGAACAGCCTGAACCTCCTTTGTCATATCTTCACGAAGTTCTCGGATCTACAAGTTAACATCTTCGCGTACCTTCTTGACTTCTTGTACGAAGAGCACATGACGCTCCTTCGTAACAATCTTTAGATCCTTTAAATCCGTCACAAAATCAGATCTCAGGGAATTGACTCGATTCTCTATAGAAATATCATTCTGATTAACCTTCTCAAGAACTCGACTCTCCGAATCCCTAATCAACCCTGATGCCTTCGAAATCACCCTTCCTTCCATCACCTTCATTAATGAATCAACTTCCATGCTTGTAACTCCACCACTGCCCACATCTGCTTGGGATTGCAAGATAGAATTCAATTTCGAATCCAAAATCTTAAACTGCTTCATGGTCATCAGCATGTGGTCAGGGAAATCTTCTTCGTCTTGATCAAAATGAAGAGCTTCGAACGTTCCTCCAAAGCCTTCGTTATCGGTTTCAACATCAGCAGCCACGGTTTCATCAATAGGTGAGGATGGATGGGGTGGATCAGTTGATTGAGTTGAGAATATGGTGGTGAATGGTTGATCCATAATAAATTGAAATGTGGGAGAATCAGTTGTGGATGTAACCTGGGGTAGTGAACTTATTTCAAGAGGCTTCGAAACAGCAGCCTTCGATAGACCAACAGGTGGACTGGTCTTCGCTTCTTCTTGAAGTGTAATCTATGGTGTCTCAGGAACTTGCTCGACTTCTTCAAGTCTTTGATTCTTCTTCAAAAATTTTGCAAGATCTTCATCCCTTCGTTTCTTAGATGATGGAGACACCAGAGTTCGAATTTCCCGAACTGTGACCCCTTGATGTGTGACTTGTGTTTTCTTCATCAGCTGAGACTTTCTCTTTATTTTGATACGTCGAAAAACACCCGTCTTCGAAGGAATCGTTTCTGTCGATGGAGACGCTTCGATTATTGATGTATCAACCACTGAGGTTAAAATTGAAGTGCTCCCCCTCCACTGGACCACTAGTTAGTTCATTTGTGTTTAGATTCGAAACCAAAATTGAATCATTGTCATGCTTCGAATTTTCTGATTGTTGATTATCTGGTGCATTATTCTCTGCTTCAATTGCTTAATCTGAAATACCAAAAATCGATTCATAATTATCATCATCCATTTTAATTGAATCATTATCATTCGAAGAATTTTGCAAAATAGGATGATTTGCAAATTGATGATTAGACTTTTTAATGTAATGATCATCAAATGTCAAATTAAAAGTTTCTTCCACTTTGCGAGTTTGCTTATTTAACACTCTATAAGCAATAGAATTGTGTGAATATCCCAAGAAAATTCTTTCATCAGCTTTTGTTTGAAACTTCGAAAGATTATCCTTAAGATTCATTATGAAACACCTGCATCCAAAAACATGGAAAATTTTGACATTAGGTTTTCGATTATTGATGATTTCATAAGGAGTAACATTAAACCGTCTATGAATGAATGATCGATTCTGAGTAAAGCAAGCAGTCGAAACGGCTTCGGCCCAAATATATTGAGGTAAATTCGAATATGCCAACATTGTTCTTGCAGCTTCACATAATGATCGATTTCTTCTCTCAACTACACCATTTTGTTGTGGTGTATATGGAGATGAAAAATTATGCGAAATGCCTTTCTCCACCAGAAATGAATCAAAAACACGATTTTTGAATTCAGTTTCATGATCACTTTTAATTTTTTGAACTGATTTCTTCAACGAAATTTCCATATTCTTGATAAAATCAATCATCATTTGTGGAACTTCGGATTTTAACTTGAGAAAATAAACCCACGTAAATCTTGAATAATCATCCACAATAACTAGAATGTGCCTTTTCTTGTTAAGAGTAGCAACTGTGGAAGGACCACATAAATCAATATGCAAGAGTTCGAGGGGTTCAACAATCTTCGAATCGATTGTGATTGGATGACCTTGTTTGTGTTGTTTTCCTACTTCGCATGCTGCACACAAACTGTCATTATCATATTTAAGAATGGGTAAACCTCTTACCAGATCTTGTACAACAAGTTTGTTGATGTTTCGAAAATTGAGATGTGATATCCTCTTGTGCCATAACCAGCTTGTATCGGTAGCAGCCTTCGAAAGTAAACACACAGCAGGTTTGCCAACAATTGGAAGTATATCCAATGTAAACATATCACATTTTCGTTTTGACTTGAGTAAAACTTCTTTTGTCTCAACATTCGAAATGACACTTCCTTCTTCATTAAAAAGAACTTGATTGCCAGTGCCCACAACAAGTTGTGATACACTTATCAAATTGTGTTGTAAACCTTAAACAAATGCAACTCGATTGACAGTGAAAGTGTCATTCGTTATCTTTCCATAACCCTTAACTTTGCATTTGTGATTATTGCCAAACTTAACCACTCCTCCATTTTCTAAGCTTCGAAAATCACGCAAGTTTTCCTTCTTCCCAGTCATGTGACGTGAGCAACCACTATCGATATACCACTTGTTATCATATTGCTCGTCACAAAGTACCTGCGATTATTGAAAAAATTTAGGTACCCAAGATTTGTTGGGTCCATTCATATTAGGTTTGTTTTTCAATTGCAAAGTACAACCATTAACCCAATCACAAACTTTTGTTTTGAAACTGTCAATAAATTTAACATTTTCATTCGAAGGGTCAGATATATGAGTTTTTATTGTTTTCAAATTTTCACTGATTATACCCTTCGCATTTTGAGTTTGTGATGTTTCACTTTTCACTTTCGTGACCGGCTGCCAAACTTTAACTGAAATGTTTGATTCTTTGGATGACGAACTACCATTCGTTGAAGGATTTACATACATTTCATATGCCTCATGTATCTGTTCTTTCGAAAACTTACTTGATTGATACATTTTTCCCTTTCCTTCCAACCAATGATCAATATTTCTTTTAGTAGTTATACCTTTCGCATTTGAGATTTTGTCAGCTTGCTTCTTCGGAAGATTATAACATTTTGCTGAACTTGGAACATAATCCACTTTTGGTTTCGATAGATAAGACTCATGATAAGAAGTATTCATTTGTGATTTTGAAATCTGTTTTTCAACCTTTTTCTGAAAACTTTTTCTTGGAAGTGTTTTTTGTTCCATTTGAAACGTTTGTTTTAATATTTGAAAATGAAGCATTTTTCTTTTCAAAAATTTGAGTCTTGGATCTTCCTCTAAAAACTTTTCCTTCTTTTGAAAAATTTATTGATGTCATATTTAATGACTCAATAGTTTGCCAAAAAATTGTTTTTCTTGCTTGACGTTTTGAAATATTATTTTCCTTTGAAAATTTTTCAACTTGAGCTTTAAACTTTTTTGAATTCAATTTTATTGCTTTGTTGACTGCTTTAACTTCTGTTTTAACACCTTCTTGCTTCGTGAACACATTTGCAGTTGTGTTAACTATCTTCTTTTCAACTTTCGACTTTTCAACCCATATTCTTTTTGGTTTTTGACGTTGAAATATATATGAATTCTTTGTGAGATTGTTTTCAACTGTGTTTTGATTCGAAAAGAAACCTTCATTTGAAGTTTGCTTATTGTCTTCCTCAACCAACTTTTTGAATTCAGGCTTTATATTTTCAACATTGCCTGTTGTTACGAAGACTTGGTTTGGAAACACAATATCATCAGTGCATTTGAAGATTGGATAAACAACAGTATTCGATTCAAGATAATGAGCACCTTTTTCACTAAGAATTTTCTCAAATTCTTGTGTATCCAAATAAACTTGATCAACAACCACTCGAGGAATTTCAATTTCTTTCGAACTTTGAATTGACTTCGAATTTGTGTTTTCTTCCTCATTATCACTATCATCGGTTTGACTATCATGTATTTCCACAAACTCCATATCACAAACTTTCGAAGTTGAGGGTTCATCAGTGTCAATTTTTATGAATAAATCTTCACATTTTTCTTTCCCTTTAAAAGAATTTGCTACATTTATGACAGACAATTGAGAACAATCTACATCCTCTAAATCACTAATTTCACTAATATTATCAGAATTATCTTCAATATCAGCAAAATTAGTTTGACAATTAGATGTAGAATTCTCAGTCTTTTTCAAAATTCGAAGTTGTTCTGATTTAGTTAAGGTCTCATTTACAATTTTTACTAAATCATTAGCATCAAGATAATCTTCGACTTTAGCAATTCCATATCTATACCTATCATCTGGAACTTTGTTAAAATCAGAAATTTCTTTTTCACAATCATATGAAACACTATCTACCTTAGTTCTATCATATGCTAAAAATGGTAGCAATTTTCTGTGTTGTTCCTTACTTATCTCACTCGAATGATGTAATTCAGTTAATTTTCCATACAATCTTTTCGCAGAATTATAGAAAATATTTCTCTGTGCTAACAACAAGTTTATTTCCTTTGCTAAACTCCTTTATCCTCCATAATATTCGACACTTGCAATTCTAAATAATCAACCCTAGTGACTTTTGATTCTAACTTCTTTCTTGTCTCTAGTAATTGATCATTTAACTTTTTAGCTTTATTGCTGGCAGACACGACAATTGAATCAAAGTAAGTAACAGTTTCATTAAAAGATACTAACTCAGAATTATATGCAGAAACTGGAATATTAAAGGATTCAAGAAGTTTACGTACCTTGGTAGTCATGGGCGACCTGTCGGTAGACTTCGATACGAAGCACTGCCCACGTACTTCGTAAGTCTCTTCTTCATCTGAATCTTTTTCAACTTTTGCATACATGGCCCCGTGTGTTGGATTCTTCATTTCTTCATCGTCTGAACCTGAGGACCATATTTGATATGTGCCATCCGATTCAGTTTCTCCATGAGCCACCAACGACAAATTCTTTGCCTTCGACTTTACTTCCTCCAGTTTCTCAGTGTAATACGCTTCATCCTTTGTTTTATTTTTCTTTTCCTCCTTCTTTCTCAACAAGCAATCTACTGCCAAGTGATTTGCACCATAGCAATAATGGCAATTAATCCCTGTATCACCTTTCAACATCTTCTTCATTTGCTCCATTTCACTCTTCGAATCCGTCTTCACTTCTTTCTTCTTTTCATCCACTCTATTTTTGTTCTCAAAACTACCCTTCGAATCTGATGACTTGTTCTTTGGATTAAAAGGTTTCTTAAAAAATTTCTTTACTCGATTGTTTGAGTAAAATGCAACAGCCTCATCATCAGAATTCATCAGAAAACCTTCTTCTTCATCAACTTCGATTTTTCATTCTCTCTTTCTGAAACCTTCGAAACGAGTGCCAATGGTCCACCAAGACTTGCTATCGCTTCCTCAGCTATTTCATTAACCTCATTTTCATGAGATTTCAATTGATTGTACAAGTCATTCAAAGTCGAAGTATCAAAACTCTGTTGGTTTTTCACCATCATACTCACACTCCTCCACTCCTTTCGAAGTCCCATTACAAATATCAAGTTGTACTCCATTGATGACCTTGTAATACCATAACGATTACAACGATAGATTAACTCGTTGAACCGATCATAGTATACTTCAATGGATTCAGATTCTTTCTGTTTGAAATCTTTGAGTT